TTCGAAACCAAATCACGCTAAGCCTCCAAGTCAAAATTGGGGAAATCGTCCCTCAGAGAAAACCCTAAAACCAGCGACAGAATGGGGAAGATAAAGTCGTAAAAGGATAAGCAAGCCGAAAAGGATCTGTAAAGTGAGGAGCAAATCAGTGATCCAGGGGTATTTAAAGCTAACAGTACCGTGGGCCTCAAAACGGGCAACGTGCGCAAGGAACGAGGAAGAAAATGATTACTGACAACCGCTTTAAAAATAAAAAATAATAATAAATATATATTCCCGCGTAATTTTTGAAGTCGCTTATTGGGAAGCCATTACTGTTACATCCTAAGTTCAGCCCTTGCCCAAGCCAGCTCGGTTAAGAGCTGGGGGGCAACTGATGATACTCAGAATGATTCCCGAGCAGGAGCTTGGGAACAGAGGTCAAACATGGAGGTCAGGTATGCTGAGCTCAGAAAGTCAGAGCTATGCAGAGCTCAGAAAACCAGAGCTAGAGCTCCTCTCAAGCGAGATAATAAACTGAAGCAATGAGGAAGCAACTGGATACTACAAAGAACTCGACAGGCGGTTTGAAGTAACACTCAAGGCATAAAATTCTCAACCAACTAAGATACTCTCCTAAGATCAAGGAGAATTTCTTAGATAGATGGCAAAGATCACAGATCAAATCCCATAGATTAAGGGATACCCCTATAAATACTATGTAACGCCCCCAACAGAAGGGTAGAACCCTAGTATCACATCTTACATTCTGTAAACCTTTTAGTATAATAAATAGTAAAGGAAATAGCAATAATCTTTATTGAAGAGTGGATTAGCCGAGCTCCCGAGCTGGTGAACGACTATATTTCTACTGTGTTAATTCCCCAACTCTTCAACAATTCTCAGTATCATTCCCTCGAGTTTAGTAACTCAGATCTCAATAATTCTAATATTGTTTCTTTTATCAATTTATCATCACAAAATTACATCACGTTGAAATACACCATCATCTAAGATGTGTGTGACTTTCATTGGCTTGATTTGATTATGATAGTGCATTTTTGAATTTTGGCTATAGGGTGAAGGTTAGAATATGATTGGATTGTGCAGGTGAGAGTGTGTGATTAAGACGTAGATTTTGTTGGAATAAGTGTCATTATAAAGAAAAATGAGCAATACTACATGAACTTAAAAAATATACTTAAAAACTAAACTTGATAATCTCAACTATTGATTTCACTGTGAGTTCTNAGATCTCAATAATTCTAATATTGTTTCTTTTATCAATTTATCATCACAAAATTACATCACGTTGAAATACACCATCATCTAAGATGTGTGTGACTTTCATTGGCTTGATTTGATTATGATAGTGCATTTTTGAATTTTGGCTATAGGGTGAAGGTTAGAATATGATTGGATTGTGCAGGTGAGAGTGTGTGATTAAGACGTAGATTTTGTTGGAATAAGTGTCATTATAAAGAAAAATGAGCAATACTACATGAACTTAAAAAATAGACTTAAAAACTAAACTTGATAATCTCAACTATTGATTTCACTGTGAGTTCCAACATTTATTGGGACCCACTACCTATTCAATAGTTGAGATTATCAAGTCTAATTTTTAATTTCATCTAGCATTACTCAAGAAAAATTGTATCAAAACAAAGGATATTTTAAACTTTTTACAAGAATTTTATCATGGTTATGATTTACACTTTCTTTTTTAAGTACGAAAGGGCTAAATGCAACTCGCAGTAATTGAGGGATGTAATGTGCATCTCATCCTTAATTTAAGAAAGCTCTATGTAATTTATCCTAAATATTATCATCTTTAATTAATTCTAAAAATATTGATCAAGTCACAATAAAATATTCTTATTGGTATGCCATAGACAATTTTACCTTTTCGATTATACAAATTCATCTACATAGATAGAGATGCTTTTGTATCTATGTGCACGCTTAGGATGCTTTTATGTGTACGTGCACGCTGATTGACCTTTATACCATCAAGATTTGATGCTTCACTTTATCATTTTCAAAAAAATTTAGTGAAACTCTTTCTACTTTACTACATCTTCAATAATATCTCTTCTATTATCAAAAATATTTTTAGTATCCTTTTTAGTTTATATTTAAATATTATTGACACCCATTATCATTAAACTACTATTTCTAACCCAAAAAAAAAATCATGTAAAATACTAAAAATGCCCCTATATAAACTCCAATCAATCTTTTTATATAAAATTCGATTAAAATTTGAATTGATTAAATTTATTTTTCTACGTATTAAAAATTAATTCTAGCTAATTAAATTTTATTTTTTTACGTGTTAAAATTCAAGCATATTAAAATTCCTTTTTAACGTATCAAAATGAGAGACGCTTTGAGCTATACCTGAACTGTTAGCGCCGATTAAAATTTGCTTCGAATCGATTAAAATTCGTGTCAATTAAAATTTGAGTATATTAAAATTTATATTTTTTTATGTTTTAAAATTGGGGCTGATTAAAATTTAATTTGAGCCACGGTTCAAATAGAATTTCAATCAGCTCAAATTTTAATACGTAGAAGAATATAATTTTTAATTGACTTGAATTTTAATACATAAAAAATAAATTTTAATTAGTTTGAATAGAATTTTAATACGTAAAAAATTTAAAAAATAAAAAAATCTCATTAAAGATATGTTTATGTAAAAGGGGTGTGGATGAAGTTTTTTCTCTAATATATCATGGACAATTTAGTAAAATTACATTATAATTACCATTTTTAATCTGACAGGGGTGTTAGTGAAGATTCAAAAAATAGAAGAAATGTTCTTAAAAATATAATAAATTAAAAGGGGTATGGCTGAAATTTTTCTAATTATTTTCTACACATTTTGTAATTTTTTTATGACTTTGGTAAGTTCTCTTTGCTTTTAATATACATATATATATATATATGGGAGGAGGATAGGGAAGGGAGATGAGAACTTGAATCATTGACCTTAAAAAGACAAAATTTTCATAATATAAAGAATATCATTAAACGGTGGTTTGTTTTTAATATGCTTTTGCATTCCACTTCTTAACTTAGAATGGAGTTCTACTTTAGTGCTAGTTTAAAGTTTAAACCACAATCATTGTGGAATATTTGACAAAGCATGAAGAATTTTTTATAATATCTTTTGACTACAATTATAAGGGTTTACTAAACAAGCTAAGACGAGGTTGGGTAAATTATTCTTCAGTATGATTACATTTTTTTCTTTTTTTTATTCAACGGTCAGGAGTATCTGAAATAGTTTATACGTATTTCAAGTAATTCCCTTATCGAACCAATCAAGAATATTCACGCCGAAACTGAGATATTCATGAGAGATAAATCCCTCATGACTTAGTTTTAAAGAATTGCAAAGATTCGAATTTAAGACATTTAAATTTACGATCCGTTTTTGATATCACTTAAACTATTTCTTGGAGTTTATTAGATCTTATTTCATAAGACAGAGAATTGGATTCGCAAAGCTTTAACTTATCATCTTTCTTAAACCCTGATCAGAAGAATATTTTAGTCCTTCTTGAGAATAACTTGTGGGGGAGCCATCCACTTGCACTCACAATTCCACTAGGAAAAGGTCCAAACAAAAATTAGAGATAAACTCATAAGAAGAGTTTAATACCAAGTAAGATTAGGCATGACTAGTATTTTTTAGTGTCGTAACTAAATTGTGTTGTGTCAAAATTTATTTATTTAGTATCCAACCATTCATAATCATATACAAATCAAGTTCAGGTCGTATTAAATTCTTGTTGTAGATAAATCATTTATAGTACAATTTTTTTATGTATTGTCAAAATTGCACACACACACACACACACACACATATATATATAAAGTGAGTCTCACATGTTAATATGTCAATAAGCCAAACTATTAAAGACTAAACTAGTATCCACTAACTTGATATCGAATTTTTGTCGACCCTAATAAATCGTATTATAAATTGTCAATCCAAACACTAGAAGAATGCACAAACAATAGATTTCTTTCATACATATCTAACTAATTTTAGTAGTACGGAATCAAGGTGGCATTTGTTTTATTTTAATAGTAATATTCAAAGTAAGAAAAAAATTGCCTACCATTTATTTTTGCTATCCTTGCTAAATGCGGAAGCTTTATGGACTGGATACGACCTTTTTATGCTGTTGTATTGAAGATGCAAAGAACCCAAACACCCTTCACACTTGGAAGTTAAGTTCTCAAGGACTTAGCCATTTCAAGAAATTAAGGAGCCTACTTTATACTCGATCAACCAATAATTCAATTGGCCAATTACAACTAACGGATCTTTGGTCTAATGATACTTTTTACCTTATGAAAACTTTACCTTCTTGAAGTTAAGGGTTCAAGTCCCCCAACCCCTCCCTCCGCAACAAAAAAAAAAATGGCCAATTACTCTAGGAAAGTCTTCNCTTTACCTTCTTGAAGTTAAGGGTTCAAGTCCCCCAACCCCTCCCTCCGCAACAAAAAAAAAATGGCCAATTACTCCAGGAAAGTCTTCCAAATCAATGAGGAACTTCATCTCCCCCTCCCCTACCCTCCGCAACAAAAAAAAAATGGCCAATTACTCTAGGAAAGTCTTATAAATCAATGAGGAACTTCATCTCTCCAAGGTTTGGTGTTCTAATTGAGGTTACCTTCAAGAAAAGTAGAGTACTACATGAATGACCTAACACCTTCACTCATTATTGAAGGGCCTTCTCACCCTAGAGATCATTCTCTCTCTACAAAAACTTCATGCAACCTTAGGGTTGAGTTTGGTCAGCTCACTTTCATTGCCTTTTCTTTCAAAAATAAACATGGGTCATGAGGGAAAGATTAAAATATTCTTCATTGATATTATAAGGTAGGTAAGTTGGCCATTTTGCAGTGGTGGGATGGGGTGAGGAATCTCATGTATAAAATATTTTGGGCCATACATTGGTGAAGAATTTTTTTTCCCACTTTCAAGCCTCTTCCCTTTTCCACATCTATCTGCAATTAAAAAAACTCATATTCCTCTGATAAAGATTCAATTTTTCTTGCTTTTAAAGCTTGGAAGGCTCTATTTCTACCTGTGAAACTGAGCCATGGGAGAGGGAGAGGAGGTTGTAGAAGGGAGAGCAATGGACATTAGTCTCAAGGACCTATCGAAGAAACTCGATGAATTTGCGAAGGCCAGAGACTGGGAGAAGCATCACAGTCCTAGGAATTTACTCCTTGCTATGGTAATCTTCATTAGCATCACCCTTGAAATTTTTTTTCTTTAGATAGGAGAAATTTTAGTTTCTATTAGCCTGGCCTACTGGTTTGTCTAAGTTTGGTTTGATCATATCCTTCAATTTGTCGATGCCCTTGCACGAAACCAACACTGAAACATATCACAAAACTGCATGTTTACATGCATATATTTTTTAAACATATATGTTTTATATTCTTTTGACTATGAAGAAATCTGAGTGTTACTGTGTTTTTTCTGCTAGCTAATGCATACTGCCAAGTATATTAGGTACCAAATCCATACAAACTGAACATTTTATCATGACATTTTTTCCACTGCTTAAATTAACTCGAAACACTCAATTTACAGAAATTTCTCAATGAATGTGAAAGTATATGTGCCTTTGACACTATATGATTAATGTTTGACGAGCTCAGATTTAACTGGGTCAAACCCAATAAATCGAGTAAGCCTAAGTTAACTAAAAGGCAGGTCAAGTCCAGTTCGTGAATTCGACCCAACCCAAAGATCAAGGAACCCAAGAATAATTAGAANAGCCTAAGTTAACTAAAAGGCAGGTCAAGTCCAGTTCGTGAATTCGACCCAACCCAAGGATCAAGGAATCCAAGAATAATTAGAGCACGTGAGGAGTAATTATTGGGATACTCACTCTTGAAGATCAAAACAACCTTTTATGACACTTACCTTTTATAGCAATTTGGAGAATTAGTACATTTACCCTCACATCACCGCCTTAACCAAGGTTCCGTGCCAATAAAATGTAAACTCTCTCTACATGAGAGGACACCTCTGGAGACAGCTCTGAATACCTCTGGAGACACTTTTGAATACCTCTTGAGACCTCTATATACACCCCACACATAACTTTTCTCTCTCCCGGCTATTATATCCCTCATGAGGCTAACCATTACTCTCTCTCGTTCACCTTACTAATCAATAAAAAGTTCCCCGGCCACCGTTGTCGTTTCGTGGAGTGAACCNTCTGGAGACAGCTCTGAATACCTCTGGAGACACTTTTGAATACCTCTTGAGACCTCTCTATACACCCCCACACATAACTTTTCTCTCTCCCGGCTATTATATCCCTCATGAGGCTAACCATTGCTCTCTCTCGTTCACCTTACTAATCAATAAAAAGTTCCCCGGCCACCGTTGTCGTTTCGTGGAGTGAACTCGGACCGAACCACTATATATCTGCATGATTGACTCAATATTTACATTATTGTTATTGATTGTTCTATTAATTATCCATTAATTACACTTTATCGCACACTCGATTGTTGATCTTGCATAAAACTATTTTGTGCATCATCAATGTCCAAATACACTATGATTGTCCGCTTCTTGTTAGCCTCATCTTCATTGTTATTGTCGTTACTGCAATATCTTCGTCACCTTANAAACTATTTTGTGCATCATCAATGTCCAAATACACTATGATTGTCCGCTTCTTGTTATCCTCATCTTCATTGTTATTGTCGTTACTGCAATATCTTCCTCACCTTCTTTCCTCCGGGGGAGCAATCAAAGCTGCAATAGACAATACTAACATCAATGTTTGGATCCCCAGTCCCAATTTGCTTGATTCGCAAAAAAAAAATTTGCTCCCATCAATCGCCAAATGGTAAAGGGTGGACCATAGATAGGTGCAACAAAAAGAACTTTGGTCAGCAATTGGGCATACGTAATGGATGGTTGCATACAGTAGTGGCAACCTTTTGTCTCAGAGATCCACCAGAAACCTCTTCAGTGATGCTGAGTACTGAGATTTCAGTAACATTATACAACATTTGTAGAGGCAATTCTCCGATTGAGCAAAGTTTTTGGCATCAAGAACACGCTTGGCTGAAAATGGCACATTATGATACCATACCTTATACGATGACAGGGCCACTTGTGTGGTAATCTTTGCAATTTGACTACCGGAGTGTGTCAATGGCAACCATAAACCAAAATAACATGCTTTTGTTCCATCTTGAGCTTTTCTATGGCCAAAATTTAGCAGTACTAGTGCTTATGCCATATATTATGAACACAATGAGTCCAAATTTGTGGATGCTGCACAATTTCAGATACTTTGTTCTGTCATTTTAATTTTGGAAATCCAATTTTTGATTTGTAGGTTGGTGAAGTAGGGGAGCTGTCGGAGATATTCCAGTGGAGGGGAGAGGTGGTTAGAGGCCTACCTAATTGGGAGGAATCAGACAAAGAGCATCTGGGAGAAGAGTTGTCTGATGTACTGCTATATCTTATCAGATTGGCTGATATTTGTGGCATTGATCTTGGTGATGCTGCTGCCAAAAAGATAGTCAAGAATGCTGTCAAATACCCACCCAAGGTCTTCTGAGAAATATTTGTATCTGTCAGTTTTGTTTGCTTAGTGAGAAATGCCAATGAAATATCAAAATAAATTTCGATCTCCTACTGCTGTAGGCCTTTTCTGACCATTTTTATAGCAGTTTTCATATTTCCCTGTGTATGCATGATATGTGTGTGCATTGTGTATGGATGTATACAATCAGGGTCTGCGGCTGTTTCAATGATGAAGAAACATCTGAAATTAATACTTGAACTGGCTTGAACCTAACATATTGCCTTGCACCCCATGAGTCCTTTGGCAAGCTCTCTTCTGGGACCATTGGAACGACGAATATTAAGTCTTTTACAATGGCATATAAATCAAGAAAAGGATGGTACCATATGCTTTTGCCTGTTGGCATAATTGTGGTACTACCTAATGTAATGGTGGAACTTGAACAATTTCCAAGTTCAAAGGAAATCTCATAGTATTTATGTTTAGCTTCCTCTAATGAATACTGCAATGTGCAAAAACTAGCCAAGTCCTCTAGACTGTTTTGGAATTAGGCTTGACTGCACTTATCCTGTGCTTCACCCAAACTCAATGCTCAGACAAGAATTCCATCATTTAGAGAGTAGTTTTCAAATATCTTAACTAAGCCCAACCATTATATCATACATGGTTCTAATTCATAGTAAAACATCAAGTTTCAAAAACTGAATTTGAGCTACATTAATTCAACAGCAGTAGTGTGGAGAATTAGGACATGAAACTCAACGGGCCAAGCTGCATTTTGAAAGGCAGATACAGAAATCCAGATTTCAGTTGGAAGAATTCTGAAAGCAGACCAGCAGTACTTGCAGGTGTTTAAGGATGCTCATACAAACACCCTCACTACGAACAATCCTCCTATGCTTACTGCATTGTATTTTATGTTTCAAGTCAGATATATGAGAGTTTGTGAGGATGGTTCAGATCCACAGTGAAGCAGGCTGGCTGCTTATAGCGTTTGTTTTTCAGAGAGCAGAGGTGCCATTGTTGATGGTGAACTTGGGTTTTGTGAATGATTTTCCTGTGTGCTAATGGCTTAGGCCATTGCTGGCAAAGAAGGCCTTAACATTTGCTAAGTTTTGGGGTTTTCTACAAGTTGTCTTCGAATCTGATTCCAAAAGCTTGAACAATTGTGGGACAACAGTTAGAACAATCCAATTAAATCTGATTTCTTTGGCTTGGCAACTAGTTTAATTTTACAATTTGTTCTTTTTTTTTTTTTTTTTGTAAGAGTTTACAGATAAGGAAATGAACTATCATGCATATTATTCAAATTATTAACTAATCATGATTCACAATATTGTACAGGCATACTGTGGGATATAATTTTTTTTTTCTTTTGGTTCAACGGTCAGGGTGTCCGGTCAAGTTTATGCGCTCCTCACTAATCTCTTTTTCAGTTTGGTTAAAAGCAGGTTATCAATGCGGGGAATATGACTGATCTAACCCCAAATTCAAACTCAAGATGTCTGGGTTTATAGCTCTACCATTTGAGCGATAAATTATGTCAATATAACGTGAGAATTAGGAGCAAACCATTACAGCTTTCCAAATGCCACCTTGATACTTCTAAATGAGAAGTGCTCACTAAATGATCAACCATACTCATCGCATATTTAAGTGGAACCCACTATTTTATAAGTGAGTCTCACAATCATACTAATTACCATTAAATAAAATTGAGCGAATGTATAACATAGAAAATTTGATTCATAGAAGGTTTCGAGGTGAATTCTCACGAAAGGTCACCAATGACACTCCATCGTAACTACATATATTATTTTCGTTGTGATAAAAATGAAAAATTAAATTGAAAGAATCCAACTTTTTTTTTTTTCGGTAAGTATAAAAGAATCCAACCTTGCTTGGGTTGAAAGAATTGGGTTTTCTTTTTTTTGGTTTAACACTGTTAGAGATATCTAGGTTAGCTTATATGCACATCGATTAATCTCGTCTTTGATCCAGTCTAAATAAGTCATCCACACCATAATTAATATATTCATAACAGATAAATCTCATATGACCGGACCAATTTTCCCCAACACAATTTGGTTATAGTTCCAAGTGTTTGGAATGAGTTTGGATAGACTCTAGATTACCTAGTAACCTAAATTTACCTATCTGCCCATGTTGGATTTAAATCCCTACTAAAACACTTTTATGAAACTAGTAGATCCTAATTCGACCAAAAAGATGTAGTGGGTACTGCTTACATTAAAGATAAATGAATTACAAGTTGGAGAAATTGAGCTAGGGGAACTTTTATTATTTTTTTGGTCATGAGGTAAAATAAATTAAGAGGGATAAGATTTACTTTAATATTTTTTCTTGGCAAATTACTTATTATAAATTCAAGTGACACTCATTATATATATGTGAATCCCTTATTAATACATGATAAGTGATTTGTCAAGAAAGAATAGAGCAAATATGTATTAGAGTGGATCACAATGTGCCAATTAAATATTAGGTGCAAAGGTTATACCTCGTCATTATTATCGGGTGATGTAACCGTCTAATATTAAATAAACAAATGAAAAATGTGACCCTATTTTTTATGGGGTAGTTACTTTTTTTTTTTTTTTGGTTCAATGATCAGATTTATCTAGACCAACTAATGTGTACCTCAATTAATCTCTTCCTTGGTTCAATCAAAAACAGATCATTCAAACCGGGACTAGAGTATTTTTCGTGGCCTAGCACTAAGGGATAGTTTTTTTTTTTTCGCTGGTTAAAAAAAGGGTGGGAGCAAGGAAGAATGCCCAGCAACCACCCAATAGGCCTTCACCGGTGGGATTATAAAGCCCCTGACCGCGCTTGGAATACTTCTCGGGACCAAACTTAACTAGGCTAGTATAGTGGCTAACCACCAAATCCCGTGGAGACTCCAAGACTTGACCTCCCAACTTTAAAGTGAAGAGTACGACCGGTACCCACTAGACCACTCTAGTTGGTCTAAGGGGTAGTTACTATCTTACACGAAGGATAATTATTTGAATGAATGGGTCCACTTTTCCTATTTAGTGAATTATTATGTGACCATTATTTACTCTTCATTCCAAAACAAGTGCAAATGGCAGAAACAGCGGGTATTTTGAAAAACCGTTATAAGTGACAACGACTCATTCAGTTTAACTACCTTCCTATTAATTTTTTTTTTTGGTTTGAACCAGAAATCCAATTTATTTTAATAATTTAATTAAATTATAAATCCTCAGTTGTTAAATATGTGAATACCCACCACTCATATGCAACGTGTGGGCAAATTTTTGGCATCCTATTTTTATGAATCCAATTCAAACCTCTGTGCAAAATCCCCATCACAGATTGTTCTTCCTCCTCCTCCTCATCTAATTTTCTTTGTATGTATGATGATAATGAAACGAATATATGCTTCATAGTCCTTTCATTTTCTTGTCAGATCACTGAGTTTATGAATCCAAGGTTTCCTTTTGTTTACATTTTTTTCCTTTGGAACATATTCTTAAATTCCATGCCAATGTCAATGTCTATGTCATTGTTGCAATGCTGATAGATGCGATTGATCCGATGGTCTTTCACATTTGGACAGATGGATAAGTTGCGGGTTTAATTTCGATAAATAAGTTTGAATATGTTCCGCTGATGAATTGTTTGAGAATATGTCACTGTTACATATAAAAGATTTAATTTATATATGAATGTATTTGTAAGTTTTGGGGGAACATTTGCCGTTTGTTTTTCCATTGTATTTGTATCGATATTGTTATTGTGTATTGTTTCTTAGATTATGTGCCACGTATCTTAATATTGTTTGGGTTTTGATATTAGATTTGGGTTAATATTGTATGATAGCTTTTGTGTTTGATCATAGACCGTAAAAAGATTTTCTATTTTGTACGATGAAGATTTTATACTTGTTGTCTTTCATGAGTTATGTGATGGTAAATTTGGCATTTTGAATTTAATTTTTTTGCAGTAGAATTCTTTTATTTGTCTTGAGAGTTTCTCATGTTATTCTAAAGCATGAAGCTTAAGGAACATGGTGATTAATTCAATTTTGTATCCATCTATCTACTTGTTTGTAAAATTGTGATTTTGCATGCAGTGAATTGTGAAAATGGAGGGAACCGTGTTTACCCCCTCTTTGGAAGGAATGAAGCATGTCAAATCGGAGCAAGGAGAAATGCTAACCAAGCCTTTCTTGGATGTGTGCAAACTTTTGTTGCCTGTTCTAGGTGTGTTTTGGCTGAGGAAATTATTAAGAACTCAGCAATTTTGCTGAATGTGTGGTTCACCTTATCATTATCATCTTCATGATTATTATTGCTATTATTGTCACCCTGTTACTATTATGCTTTACTGGTGATATATAGCCCACTCATATGGGGATTATTAAGCATTTAAGACTATATTCTTAGAGGTTAGTTTGTGCAGGCATCATATGCTTTTTCATTATCATATATTATGGACAACTAATAAGGTCTAGATTGAAGCTTGTTACAACATTTTATTGAAAAATAATTGGCAATGGGTGAAGTGGCAATTGCCACTTCGGTTTATCTCTCCACTCAAATGGGGAGAGACAAATGTAAGAATTAAAGGAAAAATTTAGAGACATAACAAGTACACATACAACGGGAGCCTCAATTGCCAAACTGATGGGATTGAGTATTGTGCAAACCCTTCCCAACCCAACTTTGATACTGTGATAAAAGCATTCAACCTAAAACTAATAGGCAATGAGTGGAGAGGCCAACAAAGCTCATACGCTAGTTCGAAAGATGTCATTTTATTGACGTGGGACAAGCTCTAACAGTCACAATCTTATCGCTGATTTTGGATGTAGTTAATAATTCTTTTCGACGTTTGTGGTAATCTGCTTTCATCCTCATTATATTTTTAGTTTCTGGCTTGGTTTTCACAATGAAGTGAAATCTTGGGNATCGCTGATTTTGGATGTAGTTAATAATTCTTTTCGACGTTTGTGGTAATCTGCTTTTATCCTCAGTATATTTTTAGTTTCTGGCTTGGTTTTCACAATGAAGTGAAATCTTGGCTAAATGTCATTCCAGATAAATTTGGAGCTGCTATGACAGTTGTGAAATCTGATATNTATCTTAATATTGTTTGGGTTTTGATATTAGATTTGGGTTAATATTGTATGATAGCTTTTGTGTTTGATCACAAACCGTAAAAAGATTTTCTATTTTGTACGATGAAGATTTTATACTTGTTGTCTTTCATGAGTTATGTGATGGTAAATTTGGCATTTTGAATTTAATTTTTTTGCAGTAGAATTCTTTTATTTGTCNCGTTTGTGTTTGATCCCAAACCGTAAAAAGATTTTCTATTTTGTACGATGAAGATTTTATACTTGTTGTCTTTCATGAGTTATGTGCTGGTAAATTTGGCATTTTGAATTTAATTTTTTTGCAGTAGAATTCTTTTATTTGTCTTGAGAGTTTCTCATGTTATTCTAAAGCATGAAGCTTAAGGAACGTGGTGATTAATTCAATTTTGTATCCATCTATCTACTTGTTTGTAAAATTGTGATTTTGCATGCAGTGAATCGTGAAAATGGAGGGAACCGTGTTTACCCCCTCTTTGGAAGGAATGAAGCATGTCAAATCGGAGCAAGGAGAAATGCTAACCAAGCCTTTCTTGGATGTGTGCAAACTTTTGTTGCCTGTTCTAGGTGTGTTTTGGCTGAGGAAATTATTAAGAACTCAGCAATTTTGCTGAATGTGTGGTTCACCTTATCATTATCATCTTCATGATTATTATTGCTATTATTGTCACCCTATTACTATTATGCTTTACTGGTGATATATAGCCCACTCATATGGGGATTATTAAGCATTTAAGACTATATTCTTAGAGGTTAGTTGTGCAGGCATCATATGCTTTTTCATTATCATATATTATGGACAACTAATAAGGTCTAGATTGAAGCTTGTTACAACATTTTATTGAAAAATAATTGGCAATGGGTGAAGTGGCAATTGCCACTTCGGTTTATCTCTCCACTCAAATGGGGAGAGACAAATGTAAGAATTAAAGGAAAAATTTAGAGACATAACAAGTACACATACAACGGGAGCCTCAATTGCCAAACTGATGGGATTGAGTATTGTGCAAACCCTTCCCAACCCAACTTTGATACTGTGATAAAAGCATTCAACCTAAAACTAATAGGCAATGAGTGGAGAGGCCAACAAAGCTCATATGCTAGTTCGAAAGATGCCATTTTATTGACGTGGGACAAGCTCTAACAGTAACAATCTTATCGCTGATTTTGGATGTAGTTAATAATTCTTTTCGACGTTTGTGGTAATCTGCTTTTATCCTCAGTATATTTTTAGTTTCTGGCTTGGTTTTCACAATGAAGTGAAATCTTGGCTAAATGTCATTCCAGATAAATTTGGAGCTGCTATGACAGTTGTGAAATCTGATATCAGCAGTAACATATCGGTAAGATCTATTTCTCATTTATCATCACATAAATGCTAGCTTGGATTCCCTTGAATTACAAAATTTTCACTATAACTTGTCACATTATGCTAATTTTTGGTTAGTAAATATAGCTGAGGCAAAGGCCCAGCCCTAGTTTTCCTATATACCACTTCTGCAATATGTGCATAGTTTTCCCCAAGAATTGATACGCAGAAATGTACTCAAATCAGTTATAGATTTATGCAATTCTATGTCTAGGTTCTCACAGAGATTCCTTATTAAGAGAGGATAAAGGTGAATTTTGAAACATGAAGCACTGAACCTTAAAGAGTGATGGTACTGTGATAGAGACTGAATTAATAATGGATACTAACATTAGTTGCACATTACAGTGATTATGTGTATATAATGGGACAAAGGTACAAAATGAAAATAAAAAAGGAAACTCCCCAGTTTTATTTTGAAGTAATATGGTTGGCTTACAAACTCAGAGACCGGCTCTCATCCAGCTTAACATATATGTTCACGGTGCAGTCAGTGTCTTTTGTTTGTGTTGTCTGACCAAACATTTAGAACTTAACCTTATTTTTAGTATTATAATCTTCATTCCAATCTAACCTTTTTGATACTCAAACTTCGTAACTGCCCAATTTTTATTTTCTTGCAGAGGTTGGAATCTAAATATACTTCAAATCCATCCAGATTCAATTACTTGTACAGTTTGGTACAAGCAGAAGTTGAAACAAAAAGTGCAAAATCCTCATCAAGCTGTACCAATGGTCTTCTTTGGTTGACAAGGTACAGGATTGTTCTCTTTGGTTTCTACTTCTATTTCATCCATTCATGTGTGCATACTTGTCATATATTCTAGTGGTAAGCAACCATTAAAGATATAAGTGCCATAAAAATCAAAACTGCCATCAATTCAGTACCATGTTTCAGAGACAAGTTGAGGGAAAACGAGATTGTTGCTTCTGATTCTGGCAAAACCTTGGTCTTTAGAGATATCAGAAACTTGGATAGATAAAATAATCAGTAAGGAATAGGAAAACAAGGAAAATTTTACTGTGCTGCTGCTGTGTGTGTGGCTGTATGCGACCTATGGCCTTTTCAGTGTGCTTTGGCAACCTCTATTACAGAAAGGTGTCTGCCAATTATTTTTGGATTGAAGAGCTGTGATCTCACTAGGAGAGCCATTTAATGTCATCGTTATGCATTTGGACTGTCAATTAAACCGTCTTGGCCTTCGTGAAACTGAACTTTGAGCCAATTGAGCAATGCTGGTTGGTTACCCTGTGGATAAGTTTTTTTCCAGCATTAAATTTAGATATATGATGCCTTATTCATAACTGCAGGGCAATGGATTTCCTAGTGGAGCTGTTTCGTAACTTAGCCCAGAATCAAGATTGGTCGATGGCACACGCTTGTACAGATTCTTATGCCAAGACTTTGAAGAAATGGCATGGGTGGCTCGCTACTTCAAGTTTTACTGTAATGTCTTTGATGATTTCTTCCTCAATCAAATGATAAATCTATATAATAAAACAGGAGTGTGTTTGAATTTTATCTCAATCACATTTTTCCCCTCAAAACTATCATCAAAACTATCACCAATCACTTACCTCACCTATCATTCATTTATCAGACTCAAACGTCAAATCACATTACTCATTTCTATCACATATTTAATCATATATATATATTTCTTCCCTAAAAATATCACACCACTCATTTCTATCATATATTTAATTATTTAATATTTAATTAATTTGTAATTAATATATTTTGAAAAAATTTAATATAGTGAGATCGATTTTTTGAACGCTCAAATTTTATATTTTATCGTGCCTTCAGGCACGGGTTATAACTAGTTGTTCTATAATTTCTCAGGTTTCAGCGGTAATCTGAACTTGGTACTGCTGTTATGTCTAGTTTAACTTCCGAATCAAGAATTGGAACTTATTTACCCAAATACTGTGTTTAAACTTGAATTCTCACACATGGCATTTCTTAGAGCTTAGTGGTTTCGATTGCCGAATATTTATAGGATTTCCCTCTATTCTTTTTTTTTTTTGTCCATTTACAACAAATATTCTAGCAGTATAGAATCGCCTTTTTATCGTGCCAAAAAACTCAGTATTATGAACTGATGTGTAATCAACCATCTCCTATAAAGGTGTATGTGTACCCTTTAAACCTGAAAACATTAGTTGTTATTTAAGGCCTGTGACTTTATATTTCATGCAATTTACAGGTTGGTATCAAGCTTGTTCCGAATAGGAATAAGTTCATGGAGGTGATAGGGAGCACGGGGGATGTCTACGGTGATATGGAAAAATTCTGCACCAACTTTTCACCACTTCTTCAATCGATCCACAAGTTTCTGGTAAGATACTCTTCAAGCTATGGACTTTTTTGCTTAGAATTCCAAAAGTCTTTTATAATATTGGGTTTTAAACTATTGGGGGTGTAAGTTTGAGGAAAAATATAGAAGCAGGGCAAGGGAGAGACTCAATAATCTTGTAATGAGAGTGTATAGCCACTTGTTATACAAGGATGTGATTGTAGTGAAAGACAAATAACCATGTCTCTTTAACATTGAGAATTCCCAACAGCAGACCTAAATCCGACACGAAATTGATATGAAGATATTGGGGATGAGTTTTTTTTCAATGGATTTGGATTAAAATCAGCGTCTTTTGACAGGCTTTTTAATAAATGGGATAATATCCAACATACAATTGTATACGATATAAATTTACCTTTTTTTGGTCTCACACAATTTTTTTTTTTGGTGCAGGCTAGTGTTGGCTTGGATAGTATGAAAGTTACATGAGAAAGGAGATGTAGTTTTTGCTTTTCCTTCACATTGTTGTCTTATGTTACTCACTTTCACTATTTAGTATGCTCTGTTTTTTTATGTTTTTTTCTTTTGGTTATTTTGGAACCTTGTGCATTAACTTCACAATCTCAAGACGTCTGAATTTCTAAGTTGTACTTGGATGGCTAATTACTGTTATTTGAATATCATTATACAAGTTCTTGACGTAATGTCTGACTGATTTAAAAAAAATTAATTATCAGATTAATTTTGTCTTGGTTCAAATTAATTATAAAGAGATGAGTTCGGGTAATTTCATTCTTCCATTCCAATGTGGATCCAATCCCTACCCAAAAAAAAAAAATGAGATTAGCCCAACTGGTTGAATGAAAATTGAAACCTTTAACTTGGTGAGTATTTTTTTTTAGTAACAACAACAAGCTGATGTCTTGAGTTCGAATCTTGAAAATCTCTTGAAGTCAAATCATAAGAGATTTGTCCCTCACGAATACCCTAATCTCGGTGTGAATGACCAGCCTTTGATTAAACGAAAGAAAAGATTAACTAGTGAATATTATTATCATTTATTAGATTTAAGAGCGTCAAATTTATGGACCTTTGCAATATGAATAAAGATTATTTACGTGATATAAACTCCTGATATCAAAATCATAATCAAACAACTTTATGACAAGCCAAGGATTTATTTCAACAAAAGATCACTGTTGTATAAAAATAAAAGGATTAAAAAAATACTTTTGGTTCTTAAATTCAAAAATTTTAAAGTTTTAGGATAAATGATATTAAAATTAAGTTTAAAGACTTGACCGAAAATTACAAGCAAGGTCCAAGAGTCAATTGGGTGTTTTATCCAAAATGAACAAATTGTGTCATTTTTTATTGTGTGATTTTCGATATCTATCGAGTTTTTATTAATATTTGTATCAATAAAAATTTATTTCACTATATAACAACTCATATGATACTAAGATTTAAAAAAATTAAAAATTGACATCCTTTCGGTTGCTTAGCTGCTCTAAGGGCATTTGTAATCCTAATCTTTTTTATTCAAATTTAAATTTTTAAAAAAATAGTCCAAAAATTTTCTTCAAAACTAAATTCATATTATACTAAATAAAGAAAAAGGAGAATTACGCCCAGATTCCCTGAAATTTGTCATTTAATCACTCAGACTCCCTAACATTTGAAATATTACACATAGACCTCCAAAAGTTTGTACGCGTATAATACTTATACATCTATTGTAAATATATATGTTAATAAATTACACTTAGACCCTTTGAGGTTTATAGGCCGTATAATACTTAGACCCCTTATGTTTAAAATACTATACTTAGACAAAAAATACTTCAATCAAATATAGAATATCAAATATTTTAAATTTTATAATAAAATNCTCTTATGTTTAAAATATTATACTTAGACAAGAAATACTACAATCAAATATAGAATATCAAATATTTTAAATTTTATAATAAAATTCATGTTCTATTTTATTATTTATTGAAATAAAATCAAAAATAAAAATTTAATTTTTTCTTAAAAAATTTTAATTTGTATACAATTATACTATCTATTGTAATAAAATTAAAAAAATAAGTAAGGAGTTTAAATCATTCATAATAGAACATGAATTTTACAATCAAAATTCATGTTCTATTATATTATTTATTTATTGAAATAAAATCAAAAATAAAAATCTATTTTTTTTTAAAAAATCATAGTTAGTATACAATTATATTATCTATTAGAATAAAACTAAAAAAAATTAAATAAGGGGACACAATATCTTTTAACTTTAATTGGTAGTTTGGTATTTTAATTTGGTCATTTAAATGACCAAATTAAATTTCAATAGACAATATAATTGTATACTAATTACAATTTTTTTTAAAAAAATTGAATTTTATTTTTTTATTTTATTTCAATAAATGATACAATAGAACTTGAATTTTAATCGTAAAATTTAAAATATTTGATATTCTATCTTCGATTGAAGTATTTTTGTTCTAACCGTAATATTTTAAACTTAAAAGGTCTAAATAATATAAGTTTACAAACTTCAAAGGGTCTGAGAGTAATTTATTAACGGATATAATGTTGCTTACGTATAAATTTTAAGGGATCTATGTATAATATTTCATATATGAAAAGGTTTAAATAATTAAGTGACAAACTTCAAAAAATTTGGATATAATTCTCCATAAAGAAAAATCCTATTCTAACCTCAAATCTAGGGTGATCCAAATCCCATACCTTTTTCCCTAAGGTCCGTTTGGTTAGCAAGAAAAAGATGATGGAAAGTGAAAGAGGTAGAAAATAAAGTGAAAGAAAAGAAAGTAAAAGAAAATATATTTTCATGCATGTATTTGGTTAGCATGAAAAACTTCTAAAAAAATTTTAAAATAATTTCATTCCATTGGTTGAAAAAAAGGAAAGTTATAAGAAAATTTTTCTAATTGTATAAATTATCCTTAAGTATTTTAACTCGGTCNTGAAATAAAATCAAAAATAAAAATCTATTTTTTTTTAAAAAATCATAGTTAGTATACAATTATATTATCTATTAGAATAAAACTAAAAAAAATTAAATAAGGGGACACAATATCTTTTAACTTTAATTGGTAGTTTGGTATTTTAATTTGGTCATTTAAATGACCAAATTAAATTTCAATAGACAATATAATTGTATACTAATTACAATTTTTTTTAAAAAAATTGAATTTTATTTTTTTATTTTATTTCAATAAATGATACAATAGAACTTGAATTTTAATCGTAAAATTTAAAATATTTGATATTCTATCTTCGATTGAAGTATTTTTGTTCTAACCGTAATATTTTAAACTTAAAAGGTCTAAATAATATAAGTTTACAAACTTCAAAGGGTCTGAGAGTAATTTATTAACGGATATAATGTTGCTTACGTATAAATTTTAAGGGATCTATGTATAATATTTCATATATGAAAAGGTTTAAATAATTAAGTGACAAACTTCAAAAAATTTGGATATAATTCTCCATAAAGAAAAATCCTATTCTAACCTCAAATCTAGGGTGATCCAAATCCCATACCTTTTTCCCTAAGGTCCGTTTGGTTAGCAAGAAAAAGATGATGGAAAGTGAAAGAGGTAGAAAATAAAGTGAAAGAAAAGAAAGTAAAAGAAAATATATTTTCATGCATGTATTTGGTTAGCATGAAAAACTTCTAAAAAAATTTTAAAATAATTTCATTCCATTGGTTGAAAAAAAGGAAAGTTATAAGAAAATTTTTCTAATTGTATAAATTATCCTTAAGTATTTTAACTCGGTCTAAAGAAGAAAAACATATTTTTTATTATTCAAATTTTAAAAAAATTGGTTCATAACCTAATTCAGAAACAAAGATCGACTCAAATTTTAATCTCTAGACCAAATTATATGATTAGCCTAGTTTATACACATTTTTTTTAAATTAATAACTAATTGAATATTTTAAGAAAAATAAAGATAAAATGGGAAGTTAAGTTATTGAATACAACTTTCTTATTTTTTCTTGTGTTTTTTTGCAAGAAAAAAAGTTAGTTAGATGTGAGAAAATCTAAACATGAGAGAAAATTATTTTTTCTATCATTTTTTATTTCATAATAAACAAACACATGTAAAATTTTAAAATTTTCTTTTTCTTGTATTTTTTAGCATTTTTTTGCTAAACAAACGGACCCTAAGGGTCATAATTCTCTTCTCCTCCACTGCGTCGTTGCTCTCGTCAATAATTTTCTCCACTTCCCCGGTCATCTCTTTAGCTACTTTGGCTTTCTTCAGTCGTAACCACTTCTCTGATGATATCTTCTACTTGCACCGCAAGAAAAAAAATATTTATCGGCGTTTAATAAACGCTGGTAAAATGTAAATAAACGTCGCAAAATATTATTATTGATGTTTGTTTTTAACGTCGTCAAAACCTCCATCGAAAAAATTGCTGGCATATAATTAAATGCTACAAATTTTATTTTATTTTTGATGAACCTCGATGGTGGAAGAAATTTTATTAATTTAAAAATTAAATTACACTTAAGTAGGGGGAACGTACGTACCTTAACTTTCAATGCAATCTAATTACATAGAATAAAAAATAAAAAGTAAGAGGGAGCAATATGCATGCTTAATACATAATAAATGTAAGAAAATGAGACCTAATCATGCTGCTCCTAATATAAGACTAATCAGCTGAATGTCATTGCATGAGCTGTTAGAATGGATGCGTTGATAGCATGAGCTGAAAGTATGCTGCCCAAAATGAGTGATGATTACAGGACATATGAGCAACAAGATAGCATCCGACATGAGCTGGTTGCTAATCAGCACATATGAGCTGCAATAACAGCATTGGACATGAGCTGAGAGACAATTAGGCAGCTGATATGGCATTAGATATCTTTGAGAAGCTATCAGAGTTCCAGGCAAATGAAAGGACAGCTGATAAGATAAGGAAACTGATAAGCCAACATAATAGGGGGACTGAATAGCTTTGATAAGTGAGTTAAACGATTGAAAGGTTGTATAGCCTTTCGGGTAAGTCAGATGAACTGACTCATTGTTAAGGAACCCAATGCTCTGATCAAATGAGAGAAAAAAGAAAGCCACTGAAAGAAATTGCGGCGATGCCAGCACCCATGACGATTGAGAGAACTGCGTTGAAGAACACCCATAGCCCTTCTCAAGAATACTAGTTAGAAGATGAATATCCAGCTTTCCAGATTCGATGGGGAGACCAGCAGAATTGATACGTCTGTGTTCCACAACAGAGGGCATCCTCCGCACCTGATGAAGATACAGTATGACCATCCCTATCAAATCAGGGCAGAGGAAAAGATCGTTTCTGACTTCCTTGGAGAAAGATGAAGGCCTGTCACTGCTCGAAGAAGAGCAAAAGAGGTATTTAGCATACCCTTTTTGAATTATGCATGTGATGAACATAAACTCGATCTGAACATGAACATGAACATGAAAAGTTCTGAAATTTATTTAGTTGCTTCTGTCTTTATAAGATTCTCTTGAAACGCTTCCTTAAACATTGAATGTTTCTGATATCCTGCTGCATGAGTAGTCTAGTATAGACTGGAAGATCTCCCGTAGATTCATAGACACAAGATCCCCTCTCTGTAACCCCCTGATTTGCCAATGAATCTGCAACCTTATTTCCTTCACGATATGAATGTTGGATTTCAAATGTAAGAATCTGTAAAATAGAGTGAATTTGGTCAAATAAACTCCAAAATTTCCAAGAAATCTTAACCTTTTGTTGACCATATCCACCAGAAGTTTCGAGTCAGTTTCAATAATCAATGAATAATCTTGAAGACCATATTCCTGCATCAGGCTAATACCATTCAAAAGGGCCCTAATCTCTGCCTCCATATTAGTACAAATGCCATAGAAATAAGATCCAGCAAGAACCATTTGGCCATCTGAATTCCGAAGAATTGCCCCTCCTCCAGACCGTCCTGGATTCCCTTTAGATGCTCCATCAATATTAAGCTTGAGGATGCCATAGCTGGGTGAGTCCAAGCTATCCACCATGTTTGTATCCTAAAAGTACCAGTTTTAAAAATGCTTAAGGACTGAAGGATTTCCAAGTCTTGATTTGAGTCCATAGCCTTAGGTTGAATGTTATGCACCTGCAACTTTAGAAAATGTAGTATAATCCTGACCAATGCAGTAGCAGGCAATCTCTGGTCATCAAATAATCTCCTGCATCTCTCTTTCCATATCTGCCAGAAGACCAATAATGCTAAACCCCTTCTTAAAGAATGACAAACTGTAGGAAGCTTAAAAGCTCTCACCAACCTCATGAATCTTGTGAAAGGTTCCTCCTGTGCAATTAGCTGAACTCCCAATTGGACAGAGAGGGCACTCCATATAAAATTGGAAAACCTGCACTGGATAAAAACATGTGCTCTCGTTTCACAATCCTGATTGCAGAGAACACATTTGCTGGCTAGAGCCACCCCTATATGCGGGAAAGAATCATCCATAGGTAAAGAGTGTTGTAATATTCTCCATCCCAATAGCTGAGCACTTGGAGGCACATGCTGTCTCCAAACTGTAGCAGCTGGAGTATTGACTACGCCCTCCATCCTTACAATCTGCCATGCAGATTTCACAGTGAAATATCCTAGAGAGGAATGTTTCCAAATTAGTCTATCCTGTCCTGAGTTCAGGTGTAACTGAATAGCAGTAATCTCCTGGAGCAAATAAGGGTCCAATATGAATTGGATCTCTGCCAGTTCCCAGTGTCCATTCACTTGTAATTGAGCTAGATTTGGAAAGATTGATGGCTTAACAGAATTCCTAAGAATTAATGGCCCCAACCCAGTCCAGTTATCACACCAGAAGTCNGTGACAACCATTTGGCCATCTGAATTCCGAAGAATTGCCCCTCCTCCAGACCGTCCTGGATTCCCTTTAGATGCTCCATCAATATTAAGCTTGAGGATGCCATAGCTGGGTGAGTCCAAGCTATCCACCATGTTTGTATCCTAAAAGTACCAGTTTTAAAAATGCTTAAGGACTGAAGGATTTCCAAGTCTTGATTTGAGTCCATAGCCTTAGGTTGAATGTTATGCACCTGCAACTTTAGAAAATGTAGTATAATCCTGACCAATGCAGTAGCAGGCAATCTCTGGTCATCAAATAATCTCCTGCATCTCTCTTTCCATATCTGCCAGAAGACCAATAATGCTAAACCCCTTCTTAAAGAATGACAAACTGTAGGAAGCTTGAAAGCTCTCACCAACCTCATGAATCTTGTGAAAGGTTCCTCCTGTGCAATTAGCTGAACTCCCAATTGGACAGAGAGGGCACTCCATATAAAATTGGAAAACCTGCACTGGATAAAAACATGTGCTCTCGTTTCACAATCCTGATTGCAGAGAACACATTTGCTGGCTAGAGCCACCCCTATATGCGGGAAAGAATCATCCATAGGTAAAGAGTGTTGTAATATTCTCCATCCCAATAGCTGAGCACTTGGAGGCACATGCTGTCTCCAAACTGTAGCAGCTGGAGTATTGACTACGCCCTCCATCCTTACAATCTGCCATGCAGATTTCACAGTGAAATATCCTAGAGAGGAATGTTTCCAAATTAGTCTATCCTGTCCTGAGTTCAGGTGTAACTGAATAGCAGTAATCTCCTGGAGCAAATAAGGGTCCAATATGAATTGGATCTCTGCCAGTTCCCAGTGTCCATTCANCAAAAGTAAACAACCTTGATGCATATACATATCTGGTTGTACTTCCAATAATTCAAACTTCAATATTACCACGTTACTCCAAAAAATTCTTACTTACAGAATTTGTTCTGGAAGAGCAAAACCAATGGAAGTATCCATTTTGCTCTCAGTCTTTTTGTCAAATCAATGACAAAAATCGCAAAATTCCAAATATCAGTCTAACAACTCCAACCAAAAAACTTATAGGCAAGGAAATGGACAAAAAACAAGACCTTATATTGGTTCAATCAACAAATGACTATACATGACATAGGAACATAATGCAAAGACATAAACATTAATTTGTTAATGTTTTTTAGTATCAAATCTAGTTTACATAAATTCATTGGTTATAAAATACTTACGCGAAGGCGAATAACTTCCGGTGAATTCGAACCAGCGCTCGGCTTCATCTGTCTCATAATTCGTCTCCGGCCGAGTAAAATCGAAGAACCGAGCATAATCATACTCGTAATCCGTATCAAATTCCGATACCTCAAAGCATGCTTCAATGAAAATCCTCCATTTCTTCGTCCATCTTCTATATATATATATATA